AATCGGTCTAAAAAAATTATTTTTGATTGCAAGTGTCGATTACAATCATTTTTGGTCAATACATATGCCCCCGACATCCTACCCAGTTTTGAGGAAAAAATTCCAGAAGGTAAACACATTTTTCAACGAAATTAAAAAATTTCGAATCGGTCTAAAAAAATTATTTTCGGTTGTTGGGGTCAATTACAATCATCTTTGATGAAGAAACATACCCCCGAAATCCTATACATTTTCGAGAAAAAAATTCTAGAGTAAAATAGAACATTGATCCAAGGATTAAACTGTCTTTCACTAAATACGTATTATCGTATTTGGAGAATAAACTTCCATGGCTGTACGTAATCTAGACACGACGTGATGTGTGACACGAGACAGGGACTGTCAGAAACTCTTGTAACTTGTAACTTTGTTATCAGTGCATTAATCCGATGAACAAAGTTTCACGAAACGCGTACCATTGCATATCGAGAATGAAGTCTCACGCACGTAAACAATATTTTATTATAAATTAGAACAGAAGTATATTTAAAAGCAGTGATAAGTATTTACCAAGTAATAAGCTGTTCGATTGATCTTTGCTTCTCAGAAATAACGATATCTAAAGAAATAAAACAGTGATCATAATTGACATATTTACATTCGATAATGTATTACTGTGTTTAATTGCTTAAAAAAATAATTTTTTTTTAAACGAAAGAAGGAATGAAATATTATATTTTAATTATATTTCAGATAACATTCGTATAACACAGGTTCACTTCACCTTTGTTAGAGAATTGCAGCAAAGTGGAAATCAAGCTTTTGTGTTTGAAGTAGATTTCCACCATTTTCATCCTGTTTTTCTGGATCTCCAATATTAAATAAACCAGAAAAATAGAATTGTCAGCTGAACGAACAGTTGTTTTTTATTTGGTAACAATGTGGAACAGAATTACCCGTTAAATGCCCGCTGGAAGATCGTACGATCATAGTTCATTCAGTTTGAATGAAATAGAATTAATAAAAATAAAATAGAAAAAGAAAATAAAATTCAACAACTCAACAAGAGGAATTTTAACTGGTGGATATTACCACCGAAGACGTTCAAGAATTAGTGATAGAAAAAGAGAAAAAAAAACTGTTGGGTAATTAAAACTTGATTTCTTCTGTACACCAGATTCTTCTGAAAGCCCTTAATGTTTTCGCGCGATGAAAATTAAAAAGATTCATCAAGCTAGAGCAAACAAATGCGGGTCACTGAGTTTTTTAAAAAGAGCAACAGATATACGAAACCTATTGCTGCGGAAAGTTCAGAAGGTGAAGATATTGCCCAGCAGAGAAAACGTTCTCGTTTTACTGCTTTCAGCAGCGATACGATCTTTGACACAAATATGGCGCACTTTACGTTTCACAGAAACGCAGTAATTTTTTAATGGCCGGGGTTAAATTTAAAAATCTGTAGAAAATCGAGAACATTGACCTACTTGGCCTCTTTAGAGATCTATAATCGAGGGAAGCGAGACTTTAAATATTTTATAAAGCCTCGGGGGCTACTTTGAAATGTCACCGAAGACTATAACGTCCCTTGATTCGAGGTGAATCCGAAACGGTACTCCAAAAAGTGTTCGGTAAAGAAAAGTTCGTTGTCAGCATGTACCCAACAAAAGGACCGCCATGACAGATCGCTCTGTAGGGGTTTAAAGAAAGCCATTAGATTTATTTCACGTACTGTGTATGCCCTACTCCACCAGGGGTTTGAAGAAGGTCGTCGACGAACCTAAACAGCAAGTCAATGAGTCAGTGAAAATGGTCAGTTGAAGTATTTTCTTGGGGAGAAGATTTTTGTAAGGATTACACGCCAGAAATGGACAAAATTTCAAAGTAGAATGGAAGGTTAACAATTTTTGATCCGTTAGTTCGTTGAATATTAATTACAACCTAAATTTTAAACTAGAATTATCAGATTAAATTATTGCCAAAAATGGGCGAAACTTCGACCTGGAATGAAAGGTACAAATTTTATATTCAACCAAACAGTTCTGGAAACAAGTTTCTATTCATGACAGAAATTCGAATTTTTATTCAACGAGCAACGGATAAAAATGTTATTTATCTTTTATTCGAAATTCATATTTAAACATTTTGCCCATTCCTACTGAATGGACAATAATTTGAGTTTGCAATTAAACCCGTTAAGGAAATTTACACCGAGTAGTAGGTGGATGGTTAAGTTTAAAATATTCGTACGCGTTATAAGTTACTTGACTATGGTAAGTAGGACATTGCGGTTTCCACGTGTAAAGGTAACAAGGGAACAAGAACTTTGGGATCAAATTCTCTTGGGGAACATTACAGAGAACAGCGAAACACTGGTAAAATCGTGTTTCGAAACTATCCGTGTAAAAAGATTTGTGGGAACATAGGGGGAGAGTTGAACGTTTGTGACGTATGACCTTATCACGCGCAGCCTCTTTTTGTCGATCGTGAATACGTGGAATTGTTCAAATATCACCTGGAATGTGACTTTCTGACGCGCGAGTACCTCCGACGCAATAATTAGTACAGACAAAGCTTTCTAAATTGAATGGATCGGGGAAATATGATTCAATTGGATGTAGAAATGAAATTGAATATTAGTACTGTTGGACGTCTATGCTATTGAGTTTAAGTAATTCAAATATAAATCAAACTGAACGTAGAAATTGAAATTTAATATTACTTAAGTTGGACATCCAAGAGTTTAGTAAGTGAAAGATAATCTTAGCCACGTTGGGCATCCAAGTCATTAAGTTTAAATAACTAACACTGCAATTCAAATTGAATGTAAAAATTGGAAGATAATCTTAGTTATGTTAGATATCCAAGTTATTGAGTTTAAATGACTCAAACTACAATTAAAATTTAATGTAAAAATTGGAAGATAATCATAGCCATGTTAGACATACAAGTTACTGAATGTAAATGACTCAAACTACAATTCAAATTTAATGTAAAAATTGGAAGATAATCTTAGTCATGTTAGACATCCAAGTTATTTAGTTTAACAAACTGAAATTATAATTCAAATTGGATGTAGAAATTCAAATTCAATATTAGTCACGTTGGACATCCAAGCCATCAAGTTTAAATAACTAACACTAAAATTCTAATTGAATATAAAAATTGGAAGATAATCTTAGTCATATTAGACATTCAAGTTACTGAATGTAAATGACTCAAATTATAATTCAAATTGAATATAAAATTTGGAAGATAATCTTAGTCATGTTAGACATCTAAGTTATTTAGTTTAACAAACTGAAATTATAATTCAAATTGGATGTAGAAATTGAAATTCAATATTAGTCACGTTGGACATCCAAGCCATCAAGTTTAAATAACTACCACTAAAATTCAAATTGAATATAAAAATTGGAAGATAATCGTAGTCATATCAGACATCCAAGTTATTGAGTTTAAATGACTCAAACTATAATTCAAATTGAATATAAAAATTGGAAGATAATCTTAGTAATGTTAGACATCCAAGTTATTTAATTTAACAAACTCAAATTATAATTCAAATTGAATGTAGAAATTGAAATTCAATATTAGTCACGTTGGACATCCAAGCCATCAAGTTTAAATAACTAACACTATAATTCAAATTGAATATAAAAATTGGAAGATAATCTTAGTCATATTAGGCATCCAAGTTATTCAGTTTAAATGACTCAAACTATAATTCAAATTGAATATAAAAATTGGAAGATAATCTTAGTCCTGTTAGACATCCAAGTTATTTAGTTTAACAAACTGAAATTATAATTCAAATTGGATGTAGAAATTAAAATTCAATATTAGTCACGTTGGACATCCAAGCCATCAAGTTTAAATAACTACCACTAAAATTCAAATTGAATATAAAAATTGGAAGATAATCGTAGTCATATCAGACATCCAAGTTATTGAGTTTAAATGACTCAAACTATAATTCAAATTGAATATAAAAATTGGAAGATAATCTTAGTAATGTTAGACATCCAAGTTATTTAATTTAACAAACTCAAATTATAATTCAAATTGAATGTAGAAATTGAAATTCAATATTAGTCACGTTGGACATCCAAGCCATCAAGTTTAAATAACTACCACTAAAATTCAAATTGAATATAAAAATTGGAAGATAATCTTAGTCATATTAGGCATCCAAGTTATTCAGTTTAAATGACTCAAATTATAATTCAAATTGAATATAAAAATTGGAAGATAATCTTAGTCCTGTTAGACATCCAAGTTATTTAGTTTAACAAACTGAAATTATAATTCAAATTGGATGTAGAAATTGAAATTCAATATTAGTCACGTTGGACACCCAAGTTATTGAAACTAACAAACTTAAAATACAATTCAAACTGAACGTAAAAATTGAAATTCAATACTAGTCACGTTGGATATCCTAGTTATCAAGTTTACCAAACTTTGTTATCGAACTCGTAGTTTATTAATCTTCTGTCAATTATAGTTCGATCGATCACACGACCAGGTGGAAATGGCAGCTACGCCAATTTGTCATTCGTTACTGTTCCCACAGACTTAACGACCCCATTATTCATAAAAATCTTCAATCGTTTAAGAAGGATAAACACAAATTAGGGCAGAAAAGTGGTCGATTTTTAGGAAACTCCGGAGTAGTTTCCTTTGCGTTTGAATTTCGAAAAAAACCCTAGCAAATGCATTCGTATATTTAACAATAACTTTGCAAATATTAAGTTCTAAATAAAATTGGGTTATTTGCTCGTACCATTTGTTTTTCATGAACAACAAAAGGCTTCTGTGTTTCTGAGTAGTAGGTAAATTAAAAGATCAACGAACAAAAGCTCTTCGTGGCCCGAAGCTGGGGCTTAATTAACTTCGTGGTAAATCCGGCTTTGCTTAGGATTATATGTATACTCAACGTTAGACGAGCAACGATTAATTAATTCGATATCGTTAAATATATATGTATATATTAATATATGATTCGTTCGAGACGAAATTACCTTGAAGACTGTTGTTGATTGTTTGGATCGAGCAACGAGACTTCCGGCGTATCCTTCGATATGCTCTCGACGCAATTCTGTTTCTTCGACTCTGGATCTTCGCATTTCTCTTCTTGCGTTGGTTTCAGGAAGGACTCTTTGTCGCCATCGATGCCGTCTTCTTTCGAAGTCCGTTGATCTTGTTGTCGATTCGTCGACGCCAGTGGCAAGTTATCTGCACTGCGAACCTTTCGGCACAATTTTGACGTTGAACCATGACGCCGTAAAAATTCCTGAAAATTACAACGGGACTGCATTGTAGACGGAGAAGAGCCAAGCATTTAAACACAGGTTTCCAGTCGTTTCCTGCAGTTTTCATTTTCATCAGAATTTTTCGAGGCTCTTTTCCTTTCAGAATTTGCCTAAAAAATCCTCTGAAGCTCCGTTAGTTTTGCTAATATTTTTATATACTTACAATAGTTTACTTGACGATTAGAGAAATAAGTAATTGAAAATGCAAATAACAGGTATTAAATTGTTTAATCGGGAATTATAAATAAATGAACTTTGTACAGTCTTGGAATTAATCAACCAATGATTAGTATTACAGAAAAATAAATATTTCTGATTTTTTTTTTGTAAACATTTAGAAGTCAAATTTTATTTGCGAATAACGAATGAAAATTTCAGAATCATTCGTGAATCAACACACGTAAAGTAGAATACAAAATTAATTTACGAACGACTATAAAATTTTTATTTGTTATTTACGAATAAAATTTGCCCAACTCTGGTATATTCTTTATTACAAAAAAGTGTGATCAGTTTCATTTAAAATACAGGGAGATTCTAAACCTAGTAAGAAAAGTTATCTTCTAGTTAAGGTATAATTATCTAATTACTAAATCGTATTATGCAGCACAAAAAATAAGTTATTAAAATATATCTGACAAAATTTGAAATCATTTGACGAGCAAATATAGCAATACCAAGTATAGTTCTATGGTATAGTTTCTAAAGAACCGTGAATATTTTACATCTCCAACCCCTGTGTAACCCCTTAAGGGAATTTAAAAACTTCTCTTCCGTCTGCGATAGTACGTGTAGATCTTCAACCCCCATCACAACTTAAGGGGTTACGTCAGAGCTGACGGGCTGAAAAACAAGCTAACTTTCATAAATTTTGCCAGAAGAATTCTACGTATTTCGTATATTAAAAATAAAAATTCTTTGCATACAACCCGAAGAATTTATTATTTGATGAAATTTAAAATAGGGGAAGTTATTTTGTGTGGCAAATACAAATAATATTTTTTCATTTTTTCTTAATCATTTACGCAATTCTAATTAGGCTGTACACATGTGAGGCAATTAGCAATTAATGGCCACCTGATGTAAGGGAGAAAAACACCCCCTTTTCTCTTCTACAAATTTCCATTTTTTAACTATTAAAACGTGTACGTAAGAAGAACACTTTCTCCACCACGACACATTCCTTAAAACGAAAAATGTTAATTTTATTTTCGTCTACGAAAATGACATCATTCACTCTTTTCCACATTGAAAACGCTTTGGAACACCGTGTATTGTTGTTGAAATTATTATATACTGTTTGTATTATACATCTCTATTGTAATTGAGCATTACTTGCCTGTTAAAAAAAAAAAAAAATAAAAATAAAAATCTGTGGGTTTGTAATTTCCCTATAATTGCTACTATTGTTATCCGATCGAGATGAAATTTTGTCTGGTTGCTCTTTATGCTCCGAGGGAAAGTATAGGCTGCTTAATCTGCGAAAATATTAACTATAAAGCAGGCTACGAGGCTTTAAACGAGTGAAGGATTCTCTATCGAATGACACCTGTGCTGTGCAACCTATGTGCTAGAAAGCTCTCTAATCTAATATAAAATTTTTAAAATCTAAGTACGTACAATTCAGCTTCGTTTCAGCTATATAGTAAATACCTACGTAAAATTTAAAAAAAAAAGCTTTTATTTGTCTAAGAAAATTTCTTAATGCAAACCTTAGCCGTCCGCCATGCTTGATGGTAGAATTTACTAATCACAAATAACATCCTGTAAAGTTCAGTCATTCAAACGAAATACAATTGGAAGTTGGAAAATTAGCTTTTCATCGTTGGTATTATATACAAAATGTTAATTATATTTATCGAAAATTGCACCTAAAATCCAGAACCGGAAACGGTCAGTTTTTAGTTGCATTCTGTGTGCTCCTCTCATTGTCGTAGACGTAACGGGTATACCTTTAAAATTGTCGTAAAAAAAAAAGAACGATACGCTGCGATTATCAACGATGGTCCATCCTAGAAGAAAATGAATTTAACGACTTCCGTAGAAGTAAATTACGAGCTTATTGATCAGACTGTAAACTACACTTTACCTCTGACTACCTTGAACTTTAACGTTTAACGTATCAATTTTGCACGGTCTCTTTCCCGTTCGTTACTTATTTAAATATCCATTCATCGTGTCTGGAGTTTAGCGTCTTCGAAATTTTGTTACACACGAGCAAAACCGATCCCGGATCGTTCGGGCTCGAAACGAACGTTGGGAACCCCGTTTTCCGTTTTCGTCGCGCGGCTATCGATCATCGCCGCGACGAAAACCATTCCGCGCGATCAATCGATAAAATAAAATTAACGTCGATTGCTATTAGCTTTTTTTTTACCGTGTCGTTCTACGTGCACGCGTGCCGACGAGGTTAATTACCATTGCAAAAAGGGAAAAATGTTATAAATACGCCACGACCTCGTCCTGTCCATTTGCAAATTGCACAAACATCGTGGGATCATTACGAAGCTGACAGACGTTTATAATCGAAAAGTTAAAAATACGAGGCGATATTAATCTCCGATGTTTGCGAAATATATTTTGTATTATAGACGCTTTCCAAGGATTATGTTGTTTTATTCTCATCTGAACGCAAACATAAATATCGTCGGTCATGAAATATACGAAAGTATACGACTTTCCTGTCGTATATATTTATTATTTCGCGAGTGCGCGATATTGGGAACTGCTGCAGGAATTATTGCGGGAATTATTGCTCGAACGTACGGTTCAAACGATCGCCATTTCGTGAAAGATTCGATCTTCCGAATTTGAAATAATAAAATGTGTAATGAGTTTTAGAAAAGGCTGAGAAATAAAACAGAAAATTCTACGTGTTCTATAAATGGGATTATTTGTTTTTAATAATTTTACCTTGCATTTGAAATTAGTTTAAACAATAGATTCTTTTGTTAATTCTACTGTGACAATGACTGATGCACAAACATAGTGAAGGAAAACTAATGTAAGAAATTGCTGTATTTAATTATTTTCAATTTAAATGTAAACAGTAATTTGTGAAATTTTTAGTGCAATATCAGTTATTATACTTGTGAATTTACGATTGTAATTATAATTGTGAACAATTGCAGCTATCAATTTTGATAGAATAATTCGTTTGAAACTAGTTTGGAAGAATAAATAAATAAATATATTTGTGTATTCTTGAAGAGATACTATAATTCTATTAAAGGAAAACTACTAATAATGTAAGAAATTACTATATTTAATTATTTTCAATTTAAATGCAATCAGTAATTTGTGAAATTTTTAGTGCAATATCAGTTATTATACTTGTGAACTTTGCAGATTGTGAACAGTTGCAGTTATCAATTTTTGTTGAATAATTAGATGGAAGAACAAATAAATAAATATACTTGTGTATTTTTGAAGAGATAGTACAATACTATTAAAGGAAAGTTACTAATAATGTAAGTAATTGCTACATTTAATTATTTTCAATTTAAATGAAAATAGTAATTTATAAAATTTTTAGTGCAATATACTTGTGAATTTACAATTGTAATTATAATTGTGAACAGTTGCAGTTATGTGTTCTTGTTGAATAATTCTCTTTGAAACTAGTTTGGAAGAATAAATAAATAAATATACTTGTGTATTCTTGAGGAGATAGCACAATACTATTAAAGGAAAGTTACTAATAATGTAAGAAATTGCTGTATTTAATTATTTTTAATTTAAATGTAAACAGTAATTTGTGAAATTTTTAGTGCAATATCAGTTATTATACTTGTGAATTTACGACTGTAATTATAATTGTGAACAATTGTAGCTATCAATTTTGATCGAATAATTCGTTTGAAACTAGTTTGGAAGAATAAATAAATAAATATATTTGTGTATTCTTGAAGAGATACTATAATTCTATTAAAGGAAAACTACTAATAATGTAAGAAATTACTATATTTAATTATTTTCAATTTAAATGCAATCAGTAATTTGTGAAATTTTTAGTGCAATATCAGTTATTATACTTGTGAATTTACAATTGTGATTATAATTGTGAACAGTTGCAGTTATCAATTTTTGTTTGAATTTTGTTTCTCTTTGAAACTAGTTTGGAAGAATAAATAACTAAATATATTTGTGTATCCTTGAAGAGATAGCACAAACTTAGTAAAGGAAAACTATTAATAATGTAACAAGTTACTGCATCGAATTATTCTCAATTTAATTGCAAATAAAAATTTTGTAAAATTTGTAACGCAATATCAGTCGTTATATTTGTGAACTTATAATTGTGATCAGTCGCAGTTATCAATTTTATTTATTACCAAATACCAATTATTTTAATTTTATATTAGCAATAAATAAATATATTTGTCCTCGAAGAGATGGGGCGAGATCTCTGACAGCAATCGTGCGAATTTTTCCAAGCTTCCAAACGACCGGTTGCTTTTCCCATTGTCGTGACTGCGAATTGACGGGAAGGTTGCTACGAAGTTAGGGTTCGATCGAAAGTTTCAAGGACGCGGATCACCGGAACGGTTAATACGTCCAGTGCCACGACAAAATTGGTCGAGTTATAGCTTTCTCGTCTTATACGATTACGTTACCTGGGATAGGAAGCCGGCTACGTCGATGGCGCTGTTCACTCGCGGCCTCGAGGTTCTCGGCCACCCCAATCCTCCCCCGCTATCCAACGAGTCCACGTGATGGTTCGACCAGTGCAGATGCTGGAAATTGTAGCAATGCAATTAGATCGTCGCACCGAGAGCCAAGCCGAAAGGAAATTGCCTTTGAATGCGACTCTTTCAAGCGTGATATCCGACAAGACATACAAAGACAATAAACTTCACTACCCACCAAAAATAGAATCAGTCCATACCACCTCTTTCAAAACCCATAAAACAATTGTTCCATAACGGGAATATCGATTTTTTAATATAAAACACATTTATTATACACTCTAATATATTTATTAAGTTTATTATGCATATTTATTGCACTGGTCTCGTTGATAAAGTGTTTTATAATTGTAACTGAGGATAAAAGGTAGCTCGAGAATATTCAGAAATTATTTAAAAATAATTGTTTTGTTTATTTTGCTCTGATAACTTATTGAATTTTGAAATGTTCTTTTGTAAATTAATTACAAAATTCTGGGACTCATTTCGACGCACGTGTTATTTAAAATGTAAATCTGATAACATATTACAAAATCAAGATTTTGTGGCGGAGAAATAACACTATTTCTGGTGAGTATGCTTTTGAGCTGAAACAGTAGGATAATGCCAACGTCAGGTTTTGTCATCTTCAAGAACACTTCTCGTTTAAACATCTCAAATCTTCATAAACATTTCAACTTACTTCGTTGTGAGGTATTGTTACTAGTTGCATCTGTAGTGTGTGTTTTAAAATTATATATATATGTATATTAATTGAACTAGCAATTCTATTTTGGGCTCCAACAGTCATCGTAAATTACCTATTGCATTAAATATTAGACTTGGCTAAAAGCGCAACGACAAATTTGTTCAAAACTTGCGTTCTAGTATTAAACATTGTCGAATTATAACGTCAGTGGAGAATGCAATAGAAAATAGGATTTTCAAATACTGATTTAGTTGATTAAAAATTTCAACATTGTCCACTTCTCGTTCCCAAATTTACTATATTTTAAAACTATAAATTTGATCCAATGTTGTGTTTCGTGTTTCGTACAGAATCAGTAGCAGTAACGTAAAATATTTTCCCCATTTTATTTTACGTTACATCCGATTCCTTTTATTCTTAAGCAAATTCGTAAGCGTTTATGGTGTTTCAAGCGTTCTACTATTTCAGTGCTGGTGACGTGTAATAATTTTTACGTAAAAGCGTCGGGTGTGTTTGCTGTGCAATATTTTCTCTCTCGATGCGTGTCGATTCTCCGTGCTAAAAATTCTGTGCGTATTGTTGCTACCACTGTGCGAAAATTGTGCATGTTATTCATAGGTACGATCGCGTTAGAAGGAACCGAAGCGAATAGATTGATACTTTCCAAGCAAAACAAATACGTTTGCGAGTCAGCGAAACGATCGACGCCGATACATTACGAAACGAACAAGATCTCATATTTAAAAAAAAAAGAAAAAACTTTTCTTTCATTATACCTGTCGAAATTACGACTATGTTCCTGTATTTTATTTCACTGACGGTACAAGCTTGATATTTCGACGAAAGGCGCGAGGAAAAAATTTCGAGGTATATTGTGTTACTTTATCTTCGTAGAGAAATTGGTTTGGCTCAACAAGTTTAATAAGAATCCTAAGTTAATGGTCTGAGCGTGGTGGATTGAGTGTTGGGGGATAAGAACAGGCGATTACATTATCGTTTAGATCAGGCAGAGGCCCTTCTAATAGAATCCGTGTTACCTAGATTCGCCCTAAAAAGACTTAATATCAAATAAGGAAGTCGCACGAAGGCGATTACAGCAAGCAATAAGATCATCATGGACAGTTTTCTCGCCATAAACACTTTCATGAAATTATATATTCGTTTGTATTCTATTTTATTAATTTAATCGTTTTAGAATTATTTTCAATTCACAATACTTGATCTCTGTAAAAAGACAAAGGCAGTGAAATAGAGGTTCATAGTATTTCTAACAATTCTATGAAAACATTTGTATTTCGAATTTGATAAAAGACAAATAAAAACTGTACAGGAAAAGGTTGAAGGGTACAACAACGACTATTTTTCTACGACTTCAGTTTTTTCAAAAATGCAATCACGGGCGCAAAAAAATGGCCATCGTAGTATCCATTCGATTTTTACACACTGGAGCTTTTTTTAAACGTTTATTTTTCTACGTTCGAAAATAGTCATTTCTGTACCGTTCAATTTTTCTATCTTTCACCAAATTCGAGATACAATCGCGTGGTTCGTGAGGTGTGACTCATCAGGCGTGTCACGGATCGTTTACGATAACACGTTAACTGCCAGTCTAAAATCCTAAAATTGTTTACGAGACCAAAACTTTCATTTTAGGCAATTGTACACAACTTAAAAGTTGTAGCAGTTACTTTTGTAACCTCATTAAAATTTATTTTCTTTAACACTTCAACTTGAGAATTCGTTGTTATAGTTCTACTGTTAAAAGTTCTGTCACCCATATATGGGTGACGTGGCAGTCAAAGTGTTAATTTTCATCGATCAACGGACCACGTTCGATCGATTTCAAGACGTCGATATCGCGATGTTCACATCCGAATTGCCTGTCTCTGGCAGATTCGTAATCTCGTTGAGATTTGGGTCAGGAAGCCATTACTCTGGGAACTTTAAGACAAGATATATTTAGCGGAAGCATCCCTCTTCGAAGGTAATATTCTTCCTATAAACGTCAGATTAGTGCTCACGTAGGATTTTATGGTGTCTCTGATAGCGATCTTCCGCCTTTATAATGCCTAGCATCACCGTGGATATTACAAATAAATTCTTTATTGCTGGCAGTTATCGTGCGTTATCGCGACGCGAAGCGTATTCTCCTTTTGTTTTATTAGAATTAGCGCTTAAAATTCCCCGTTGCATTTCCCTCGCTAAACTATGCTCGGATTTCAGAATTCCATTTCACAAAGCAAAAGGAAGGAATAATTTCATTCCTGCTGTTTCTTTCGTCTCGAATATCTTGGAATCAAAAATAAAAGAAATACGCTTCCGGAACCGAAAGCAATAACAAACTAAAATGTTTGTTCTTTGACATTTCAATTCAATATACTTTCTCGGGAAGTTTAAGTACACGCTCTGGACTCGAGTTTCCGAAATAATGAAATAACTAAAGCGAGTTGCAAGTTTTAAGAATACATTACAATAATTTATTTTATAAGAATAAATAAAGCTAGAAAGAATTCTAATTATAGAAATAATTTTAAAAAAAAGTTGTTTAACAAAATGATTTTGTATGTTAAAAATAATCTGGGATTTATATTTATATACGAAAATATAGAATTTTTTCGTACTTCGATTTCGAGATAATTGAGTTTGAAATTTTGTCGGATTCGCGTGAGATACGGTTCGCCTGGCGTGTCTGACCATAACTTGCTGTTTCTACTTAGAAGTCATACTCTACTGCACGCGAACCCGATGAATTTTCGAAGTCGATTATTTCGAAAACAGGTTTCTATCTGCCTCGAAAACTTCCTTCAATCTCGAAACTATAAGATTATTATATTAATTCTTTTCAACAACATTATTATATGGCGTATATTTCTTTGTGTAACAGTTTCTTTATAGACAGCCAACCCCAATAATGCTAAAATTAAATATTTAAATATTTTGAAGCCAACAATTTTACGATCATATAATATTTGCATATACGTATTTACATATACTATTATTAATGTAACGATCGATCTTGAATATATTTTACATCTACAACGTTTATTCAAAATTGTTTGAAAATATAAATAACGAAAATCGACTGTGAATTTTGGATCCCAGAGATTTAAAATGAAGTTCACTTTCAATATACAGCTCCATTTGGCAAAGTTGCGTAAATTGTATATTCAGAAAATAAAAAGCACGGAAAATAAAATGAATGAATTAAATACATATTACCCTTAAACGAATTAAAGTAATCAAAACGCTTTATTCGAGATCGATCAATCACCTGTATCTTCCCTATAGATTTAACTGTTGCACATTCGTAAGTCAAAGTGGCTCTAATCAATTTCTGTTGCCAATTTCCAATTAGCCTGCACGAAACTGAGTAACCAGAGTGTGAAAGTGTCGTGCCATAGCAATCGATGTCAATGCATAACTTTCGAACCTTTTTAAACCAACGCGATTTTTTAAAATAATAACAGGCTGCTGCTTTCGGTCGATATACGAGGTTTACAATTTTTTCAAAGTTTATTTTTTAAAATTTAATTTCTCGTTAGAATAAATTCGTGAAAACAGCTTCGAATCGTGAAATTTCGCTATTGAACGTTTTATAATTTTGTTCCTCAAAGCAATTTTGAGTCCGTTAAAAAGTATGAAATATATTGGAACAAAGAGTGAAAAGCGTTTTTAAATGTGCTGCATGTTTCAAAGTTTCAAGTGCAGTTCTTTGTGACACGTAAATATTTGAGATGTTCCTTTTTTAAATTTAGTTACTTTATTTTCCGAATAAAAGAAAATAATGTATATACGGGGAAACGTGTACCAAGCAGAGTGAGAGCATTCATTTATTTTATTTATCTACTTTATTCACGAAATAAAATAGAGTTATGTACGTAGAAGAAAAAGTGCACAAGGCAGATTAAAAGGACGTTATTTGTATTATTTTGTAATGTGAGTGTAAGAAATATTTCAATATGTGTTATCTACACAAATAGTTATGACACTTGTTAATGGTTTTGGATAATACACTTTCTATTCTGTATTTGTCTGCAATTGTTTCAAATCAGTTTGGTAAACTCGACCGAAAACCGCGCTTAAAATCCAGGTCTGAAAGTGTTAGGAAGTGGATATCGAACTGTAAACACGGTCACCCTGTACACGACACGTGTCTGCAAACGTAAATCAATATTGAGAACAACCAGCACGAGACTAGTTGCAAGTGAAAACATTTTACTTATTTTTAATAATAATAAAAATACATCAATTTTATTCCCCAATGTTCTATAACACACGTAAAAATACAGAAAATAAACCATATTTGACACGACTAATGCTAATTTGAAAATTTTAAAAGATTTTCAATCGATAATGCAAT